AAAGCATTCTTTGGAAAAATGTCCACTTTTCATGGGTAAACATGCCAAAGACTGCTCGAGACCCAGTCCACTCCTCAGCAAACAACATATCCTTTTCCCAACAAAAATACATTTGTGTGGAGTGGACTAAGATTAGGAAGATAGCTGTAAAAGCAGCAGCTAGTCATAGCATGCCAATGTGCAACCCCATTTACTTTGCGTGTGCATGCATGTGTGTGCATGCGCACATGTGCACACCTGCATGTCTGTAACTTACAGGTTAGCACAAACAGGCTCCTGGCCTTTTCTTGTTCACCAAGGCATTAGGAACACCCTTCTACAGAAACTAAGCTGTGACTCCAAATGGAAAGCAGTTTTTAGTTTAGGTTCAATTTTAAGCTATTGTTCCATTTAGTGCCAACTTGTTCTCATCCGACTGTCTATGGACAGCCTTTGGAAAGAATTTTGCTGACTCAGGAGTTAGTCACAAACACTGAAGGTCATGGTTCTAAAATCAGATGCATTACTGTTCATCTGACGGTGAGCTCTTTTAGGAAGCCCAGGAGTCTGAGAGAAGGGGCCCCACCCTGGTAGTGCCAAGTGAACTGAGTACATACTTATGTTTTGAACTCCTGTCTCTAGAACCCCGGCGGTGACCTCTGCTGTGGCTGCGTGAGCGGCTTCGGTGGCGTCTGTGTCGGTCACGCTCTCGGGACCTGGAGCGGGACTTCCGTCTTTCACGAGAAACTGATCGTGAGCGCCTTCGCCTCCTATCCCGAGATCGCGACCTGCAGGGTCAGAAAAACCATTTCAAACCCAGACTGTATGTGATCAGTATATGGTTGAACCACTTTTCTGTCAATAATCCAGACAAAAACATTTCAGAGTAACACAGTGTATATGAATAGTCAGCCACCAAGTTCACTTGTGCTGTTTTACAATCAAGGCCATGCACTACCCAACACAAAAGGCAATCCCTCAAGGGAGAATGCAGTGTCCTGGGATAGAGTTCTACCAATCAGAACCCAAAGCCAATAAATTCTCTCTCTCTCTAGAAGTTCTCTAGAAAGTTTCAATTCAAACAAATTCAAGCATATGCTGATATAGAGCACAGGTACTGAATATACAGCATTTGGAAATGGGATCAAGAAAAGAGGGGTGAGAAAATACATGGTATGAGGAAGTGTCATGCAGTCTCTAAAAGGACTGCCAACAGACTTTCCTAGGGAAGTATTGTACTGGATACTGGACAGAATAACTCATTTTCCTAAAACAAAGGACAGCAATATCTATGGGGAGGGATCTGCATACTCACCTTCTACGATCTCTGTTTCTTGATCCAGACCTAAAAAGAATAACGATGTTTGTTTGAGACTACTGTAAAGAGGAAACTAGGATATCATCACCAGTTTCTATAAAACAGCCTGTTCTCTAGCAGTTGTTCTCAGGAGTTCTGCAGCACACTAGTTAACCTGATCTAAACCAGAGCTGGTTGAAAATTTCTCTCTTTCCTGTAACAACACGTGCATGCCTCTTTGAAAGCCAAACTGTTTTGTGGAAACATCAATTTTAATGAAATTTTGCCAAGAAAATTTCTTATGCCAGCATAATTTTTTGGTTAAAATTTAAGTGATCGACCAAGTGACTCCAAAACCTTTTGATACACTGGGGTTGGAGGCTTAAAAAAAGTAAAGTTTTGAGATGTGGGCATTCACTCTAATTTTATAATCCATTGTTCATGTCCAATATATTAGTTACAAGCGCTCTCTTTTGTAAGAGCAAAACCTAATTATTTTCAAATCTACGAATGTACCTAGGTCACGTAAGAAGTGGCCTGGACACACATATATTATTACTATATTAATAACTATATATTTATGATCATATACAAATAAAACATATAAATATTTTTTGGGCAACTTGAGGCAAGTTACCTATTTTACAAACCTAGGTAAATCTACTCAACAAGGTTTTTACACGGATTTTTGTGTGGGGTGGGGGAAGAAAATTTTAGTTCTTGGTAAAGAACTGATATTGAAAAAGATAATTAAGAAATGCATCAGGAACATTTTACTGCCTTCTCAGGGTTACAGACTTTTTAAACCAGGCAACTAAACCCTAGCAACTTTTTCCACAGTAGTGGTTTGAATTAGCCCACTGGGTTTTCAGTTCCACTCTTATGCACCAGATTTTCCATCAGCCTGTGAACAACAAAGTCTAAAATCTCATGATTTCTGCACAGAAATTATCAGAACTTGTTAAAATGCTAACATGAATAGATGTCTGTCATTCAACTGTAGATGTCTGCTTCAAAGCAAGCACATTTCTTATGGATCCAAATACACACAAATGCTACAGACCTATTCCCTAACCCAGTGGTTCCCAAACTCTGGTAGACCGAGTACCACCAATTTAAAACGATACAGCCTTAAGCACCACTAGCACGTTTTTCATACACATAGGTTAACTATGTATTAAAACAACATCAAAACATTTAGTAATCATAAGATATTGTTTTATCTCTTATGGTAGCCATATAAAACAAGTGTAAATTGGAAAAAAAGACAGTGTAAATCAGGCAATATTTTTGTCCAGAGTACTGAAAAAACCGCATTGTGTACCCTGTAAGGTGCCACACTGCGGGTACACCAGAAAAACAAAACAGGGGCGGAGGGTACATGGCAGGACCCACTGTATATTAATATAGTTAATCATCATAAATGTTGCTGCTGCTTTTTTTTTTTTAAACAGTAAGTACCAGGTTTTCTAAAAATTCTAAACCTGGTGACAATAAATAAAACTTCATATACTACCTTTGTTCTTGTGTATTCTTTTTTGTTAAGCGTGTTCTGATGAGAGGAGAGGAAGAGAGAGAGAGAGAGAACACAGAAGACAGCGAACAGAGAACAAACAGAGAAAAAAAGGAGAAGAGGCAGAGAGAGGACAGGGGAGGGAAAACATAGGGAAAGAGACATGGGGAGAGCAGACGTGGGGGAGGCACTGCAGGCAGACTGAGAAGGCAGCAGCCAAAGGAGAGCAGGGGCTGGGTGGAGAATGGGATCGGCCCCAGGGCTCAGCAGACTCGGCCTGCAGTGCAAGTGCTCAGTGGCACTGGAGGTGGAGCCTGGCGCAGGCTGTGCAGCTCTGTGGGGGTGGGGCACAGCTGCCCTGCCCACAGGTGAACACTGCCTGGCTGGCACAGGGGGACTGTGTGCACCGGGGGGGCAGGCACAGCACAAGCAGGGCGGAGCCCTCCAGGCCGCAGCAGGGACTCCCTGGGTTCATTTGATGCTTTTTTTTAACATTTCTGTACAGCATGAAAACATGATCAATGCAATAACACATGGAAAAAAAACTCAATGATACCTTAAATAAATATTTTAGGGTCTGCCTGATGGACACTGAATTTGATGGTTTAGGAACACACTACTCCGGGCTTTTGAGGGAAGTGTTATCTGCCTCCTTGTAAGAGAAACATAGCTTAGAGACTGGAGCACTGAACTGGGACTAACAAGATGGTACCTGTCTTCCTAACAATGCTGTTAAGTGACTCTTGGACCAGTCATGTCCCCTTCTCCATACCTCAGTTTCCTCCCTTCCCCCCATCATGTAAGACAACACTGACCTCTTTTTATAAAGCACTTTAAGTTCTGCTGAGGAAGACAGTTAATTATTATTAAGACAGCAGGACTCACAAAGAGATGGATACATATGTCTGTGGGACAAGGGCTGAGGTCTTAACCTCAGCAATGACACACAAAGAAGCTATAGGAACAAAGCAACAGTCTACACCAACACAATTCAACATTTTTAATATATCGTTCTTTAAATGTTATGTATGTCCAAAAGTGCAATTTCTGAAAATCAGCACATAAGCAGCACCATGCATAGAATCCATGCCCTGTTCCCAAGGTTTGGGGAACTGCTTTTGGAAGAAGAGAGAAATAAATGGAAGTTGAGCCAGAATTTACATGAAAGACTGATCAAATAAGAGACCCTAGAACTATTCCCTTCTTATAGTTTCTAGGGTCGGAAGGGACCTGAGCAGATC